TATGTAGCAGCCAAACTGTTCACTCATAACTTTAATGCCAGTAGCTCACAAGGTAAAATTTTTGCTCACAAGACTCCACAGCTTAGAGGGAACATTGTCTGTGAGCTCACACCCAGCCCAATGATTTAGAACGATTTGGTCAATGACGACCCTGCCACAAGGCAGGCAGACATTAGGGAACTGGACATTGGCTGTGAGCCTTTTCCGAGCTATTTCGCAGATTCCCCGCAGAAGGGAACACATCCAACCGGTGCTGAGGGCGCTGCACTGGCTGCCAATAGCGTTCCGGATACGGTTCAAGGTGCTGGTTTTGATCTTTAAAGCCCTTTATGCTCTGGGGCCTGTCTACCTGCAGGACCGCCTTTCCCCGTACGTTCCCCCGAGAGCACTGAGGTCCGAGTCGCAGGACCGCTTAGTCCCCCCTGGCCCAAGGGACAGCAAATTAACATCTACTAGAACTAGGGCGTTCTCCTTGGCAGCACCAACACTATGGAACCAGCTCCCTCATGAGATCCGCGCCCTCCGGGATCTCCGCCAGTTCCGGAGAGTGGTGAAGACGGAGCTATTCCGCCAAGCATTTAATAACCCAGACCAAGCATGATAGCACTTTACGGTTGCCGCCAGGGGTATGTTGTACTGTGTGTTAAATTTTGATTTTAAATGTATTATATAGATTGTTTTAGAGGCATTGTTTTATTGGTTTTAATGTTGTAAGCCGCCCTGAGCCGCTTCGGCGGGAGGGTGGGATAAAAATCAAATAAATAAATAAATAAATACGGTCCTGTTGCTCCACCATGACCTCCCTGCCAGTTGAAACAGTGAGTGAACTCGAGGCCCCATACACATCTTCTTGTCAGCCTAGAGGAAGTCAACAAATTGCTACTAACTGTGCACCCTTACCATGTGCCTCCTTGATCCATGTCCATCATGGCTCATTACAGCGGGTCATGAGGGGTTTTGATGTGCCCTACGGGGGGTTATTAACAAGTCCCTTTTAGAGGGTTTGTTCCAGGGACACTCAAGGAAGCCGTGGTTCGTTCCCTCTTGAAAAAAACATCACTGGATCCGCCTGAATTGGCTAACTACCAGCTGGTTTCCAACTTGCCCTACTTGGGCAAGCTGATCAAGAGGGCTGTGGTGGTTCAGTTACAGAGCTTCTTGGATGACGCTTCCATTTTAGATCTCTCCCAATTCAGCTTCCGCCCAGGAAACGGGACGGAGACAGCACTGGTCAGCCTCACAGATGACCTTCAAAGGCATCTGGATCAAGGCAGAATGGCGGTACTGATGCTGTTGGACCGGTCAGCAGCATTCGACATGGTTGACCATCAGTTGCTGACCCATCGCCTCACTGACACTGGAATCCAGGGGCTTGCCTTACAGTGGCCCGCATCCTTTCTCCAGGGTCGGGGATAAAGGGTGGCGCTAGTGGAACAGCAATCCAAGAGGCACCCACTGGTGTGTGGGGTGCCTCAAGGGGCGGTACTTTCCTCGATGTTATTCAACACTAATGAGCCCCTTGCCCAGATTACCCGAAGGCATGGGCTATGGTGTCACCAGTATGCGGATGACACCCAGCTCTATCTGTTGTTGGGCGGCCAGTCTGACTCTAAACCAGAAGATCTGGACTGGGCGTTGCAAGCCGTGGCTGGTTGGCTTAGATTGAATCAACTGAAACTGAATCCAATGAAGATGGAGGTCCTGTGCCTGAGTTGGGGCAGTCCGCGGTTAGGGATCCCACTCCAATCCTTTGATGGGGTGCAGTTAGTGCCAGCACCAGAGGTTCGGAGTTTGAGAGTGCTCTTGGATGCCTCCTTAACAATGGAGGCCAAGGTAGCAGCCACTACCAAGTCAGCCTTTTATCATCTTTGGCTGATCAGGCAGTTGGTTCCCTTCCTTGAACGTAACGACTTGGCGACAGTGATCCATGCGATGGTCACCTTGAGATTGGACTACTGTAATGCTCTCTACATGGGGCTGCCCTTGTTGCAAATTGGGAACCTGCAGCTAGTGTAGAATGCAGCAACCAGGCTGTTGATGGGTGTCCCTTTGTGGGAGCACATCTAGCCGGTACTGAAGGCCGGCTGCCGACAGACCAGATTCGTTTCAAGGTTCTGGTTTTAACTTTTAAAGCCCTATATGGTCAGGGTTCAGCATACCTGAGGGACCGCCTTTCCCCACATGTTCCCCAGAGAGCACTGCAACCAGGGACGCAAAATCGGCTGGCCCTTCCAGGCCCAAGGATATCAGGCTGGTATCAGGGCCAGGGCCTTCTCAACAGTGGCTCGATCCTGGTGGAATGAGCTCCCAGAAAAGATCAGGGCCCTGCGGGACCTTTTACAGTTCTGCAGGGCCTGCAAGATGGAGCTCAGGTGTTTGATGAGGAACCGCATTACATATCGAGTGTCCCTGTGCCCTGGTTTTACTTTTCTTTGTCTCCAACCACACCCTGGCTTACCAACGCTTCTCCGGCCTGTACCTACTGCACAATAATGTGAGAAACTAAGCTGGCATGGAAGCCATTGGAATTATACGGCCATGGACTTCCAGTTTATTGCGACATGCAGGCAGACGCATCTCCCAGACGTCCCGGGGATGCAAACTGCACACCAGCGTGTAGGAGAGGGTGCGATGGGTCGCGACCCCCCCGGAGCCTTGGTAAAAGGTTTCTAGCCAGGGGGCTTTTGAGGGGTGTCCTCTTCGATGGCAGAATGCCGGAGAATTGAGGCGCTCCTCCGCCCCGAAGGTCCTGCTGCTAAGTGACTGCATGGTATGAGTGCTGCTGACTGGGACAAGCGTTGGAGATCGGGCGGAAAATAAAAATCGATGCTGAGCGAGGCCGGATGGGCCAACAATGAACTGAGTCGGGTTGAAGCGAGTATGAAGATTTAAAACGAAAGCTGCCCGCCCTTAAAGAGCGACGGGAAAGTGAGTGGGGGAGTGATGCCTCCCTACCGCACAGATGAAACATGAGTAAAAAGAGGAGCAGAAAAATAAGCATTTAAATCAGTTTTAAGAGACTTACCAGAGTGCAGATAAGCGTTTGGGTGAATTTCAGAGACTTTAGCAACTTTTTGAAAAGTAAATAAATCCAAAAAGATGGCAGAAAGAAAGGCTGTTGAAACGGAAAGTTGTGGGTAGCCCTCGAACGGATGAGACTACCGAGCTTTCAAAACTGTTGGCTGATTCCTTGCGCCCTCTGCTGGACGAGATGACTAGTATTAAGCAACAACTGTCAACAATCAGTCAGAGCTTGGCATCACAGCAAATGCAACTGACTCAATCTTTAAAAGCAACAAAGCAAATGGGAGAGAAGGTGAAGGAAATGGACGCCAATACTAAAAAAGTTAAGAAAAAGGTGCAAAAACTGGAAATGAAGCAAGCGACGGAAGAGTCAAAACTTTTACAGATGCAAATGGAGAAAGAAAATTTGGTCCTACAATTCCAAGGGGTCCCGGAAATTAAAGGAGAGAATCTGAAACAACGCTTGAGTGAAGCATTAGCCCCAATGACAGATTTGACAGCGGAATACCTTCATAGCGAGATGGATGTGGTCTACAGGTCCTATACATCATACATTAAGAAAAATAATCTGCCTGGGGAAATAGTAGCCAGATTCTCGAAGAGACATGTGAGAGATGCTATCTTGAAAGCAACTGTGGGAACACTCTTGAAAATTGGGGACAACAACATCAGGATTTTAAAAGGCATTCCATTTGACTTAAGACAGAAGAAAAAGAACTATAAAGAACTAATCCTTTTCTTACAAACAAATGGCATTAGTTACAAATGGCTAATTCCAGAAGCCGTCATTTTGAAACTCCAAGATAAAAAAGAAAAGATTGACTCTGTTTTCAAAGCACGTGATTTTCTGCGAATACAGCTCGGGGAACCAGACAAGGACAAAAAGGAAGAAGAAAAAAGTAAATTGGATGGCGAGCTAGGCTCGGGATCGTCGGACAAGGACTCACCCTCCGAAAAAGGGGCGGCTGCCTCCAAAAGTCCATATAAACTGAGGATTCGAAAAGATAAGAATAAATAAGGGCTGAAGGACTATGATCTGTGCCTAAAAAAAGGGATGATATAACTTTGAGATGCTCTGGGAGATTTCTTTAAACAGTTAAAGGGATGGTTAACCGATACGTAAATTAGCATAACCGACTAAGTTCATTGTATTATTAGCTTTTTAAAATAACATTGATATAAGCTGATGTACTGATCTCCTACTCTGTCTTGAGTTTTTAGTTAGTTGTGGGTCTTTTTTCTTTCTCCTTAGATGTAGTCCCCTTCCCGATTTTATAGTTTATAGTCTGTTAAATAAAACCCAATAAAAATTTCCCCTTAGGGGGATTGAAAAAAAAAAGGAATTATACGGTCACCTAAGCCAGGCCTGTTTTATTTGGACGTTTCTGAGCTTTTAGGTATATTTTAAAATTACTGTTATTTATTTGATCTGTTTTATGCCTGACAGACTGTTAATTGTAGTGTATCTTATGATGTAAGCTGCCCTGAGCCTGCCTCGGCGAGAAGGGCGGGATACAAATTTAAATAACTAAAAGATACTATTTCAATAAATATTAATGTTTTTTATTTTATTGAAGACATCAGTATGCCTGCCTTTTTTCAAAGCATCTCAGGACCCAATGCAGGTAACAATAAAAAACTGACAAGATAAACCTTAAGACATACCTACAAACATTAACCACCAAACACGTTCTACCCCTACCAGAAAGGCATTCCACCCTCCCTTTCCCCCAGGCTGCTCTATGTTACTGTGCCTTTCACCTCTGTGGTAAAAGCAGTTGCCATTTTTGTTAGTTTGTTAAAGTTTTGGTGACTGAAATAAAGTCTGCAGAGGCCCTTACATAGATGAAGAAAGGGCTCTTGAACAACCCAAGGTTTGGTTTCTTTTGTTAATCATCCTGAACTTTGGCGTATCACCAGCAAAGCCTGGGAGGAGGATTAGATTCAACTGCAATACAGGTGGACTTTTGGCAAACCCAAAACAAGGGGTGGAGGGCCTCTCCAGAGAAGGAGGCACCCGAGAAAGCGCAGAGAGGAGCTGCTCGGTCGGCATCGAAAAAGGCCACTTGCCCCCCTTCGTAGTTGAGAAGGACTCGGATCCTCTTGAGCTCCCCACTCTGAGGCAGATTCCGGGATGCTCCAACAGCAGCTATGTACCCCTTGGTCTTCTTCATAGTCCATATCCCTTCCTCAGGAGAAACGTTTATCCAGGCCTTTCTGTTCACTGACTTTCTGGCAACTCCCACACCCCATTCATCATCATAGCTTTTCACAATGACCTCCCAGAAATGCCGGCCTGCTGTGAACCCCTCCCATCCCAGCACAAAAGCCATCTCCTGGAACCTCTCGGGATTTGGGGGCAGAGCTTCATACTTGGTTCCCCATTTCATGCTTTTACGATCCTCGGAGATGATGAGCCATGGATAAGCTGTGTCTGGATCCAGAATCACATTTGCTGTTGGAGGAGACGTTAAGAGAAGCTGTGTTAGCAGGAAGACTGATAGCTAGGGATGGGCAGAAACTGGGAAACCTTGGTTTGGTTCGCAAACCGAACCGGGATAAGTCCCGAACCAGTTAGAGGCTCCAAAAACGCAGGGCATCTCCAGGTGACTCTCCTCTACCTACCCACCACGTTTGGTGAAGATTGGACTTGGGGGGGGGGGTCCAAGTTATGGAACCCCAAACAAGACACCCCCAAGAAAGTGCTTTTGGGGGAGATGTCAGGCGCAGCTTCAGGAGTGTATAGAACAGACCCTGGGCAAGCTAGAGGCATCCAACTTGTAGCACTCCTCCCCAGGATGCCTCCGCACATGCCCTACAAGTTACATGCAGATTGGATTCAGGGGAGGGGTCTGAGTTATGGACCCCCAAACAAGGTGCCCTCAGGAAAGTGCTTTTCAGGGACATGTTGGGCACAGGTTCTGGAGTATATACAGCAAACCCTGTGCAAGCTGGAGGCATCCAACTCATGGCACATCTCCCCAGTATTTCCCCCCCCCCAATGCCCTACAAGTCACATAAAGATTCAACTCAGGATGTCCGAGTTATGGACCCCCAAACAAGGTGCCCTCAGGAAAGAATTTTACCTTTCTGCGGCTGAAGCCCAGCGATCACAGTGTCTGCAGAAGCAAGGGGGGGGGATTAATCAGCAGGTTGTTTTTTTAAATCACAAACACAGCAATTAAAATATCACTTTGTAATGGCATTTTTAAAAATTGTATTTTCCAATGGAAAAAGTAAACTAAAAAAAATTATTTGCTTGCAAATATTCAAATTTCTCTTAATGTGGATTTTCCCCCACCTTTCTAATTATGGTAGGTGTTGGATTTAGAAAACAAAAGGAGAGAGAAGTTACCAAATTTGGTACAATGATGCCCAATGCTATTAAAAGGAATCAAAATTTTTCCCAAGCTCATACCTTGAAGGAACCCTTTGTTGGTCTTCAAGGTGCCCCACTGGACTGTAAGCTTGTTCTGCTGCTTCAGACCAACACGGCTGATCACCTGGAACTACTTCCCAGGCATGGTTAACCAGAAATCATTCCCCTTATAAGACACTTGCTTCATGGGAACAACATGTTGTTCAAGGTGTTTCCCCCTCTTCTCCTGTGAAATAGCATTTTTACATTTTGCAGTTTGTAATGGATGATTTCTGCCATACGTAATACACATTTTTATTTTCTGAGATATAATGAAAAGGCTTTTGTTTTGTACTAGTGTATATAAATGTGCCACCATTATTGTCCTACATTAGACACAGTTAGGTGACTAATTGTATATTTGTTTATATTTACTTGGTATACTAATTGTTGAAAGACCTGACATTGTGTTTCTTTTTTCCTTGTTGCAAAGACCTCTCCCCTTCCTAATTGGTATTCACAGTGGCCAACCAGTTGCCCTGGAGGTCAAACAGCCAGTGCAAAGAAACCAAACCTTCCCTGACATTGCCTCTCTTTTTGAAATTTTGATTTCATAAGAGAAACAAGATGCAATACAGGGTTCAAAGAGTCAAAACATATAGCATCCAGTACTTGAGTTATCTCCTGCCAGCCTAGCAGTTCGAAAGCAAGAAATTGCAAGTAGATAAATAGGTGCCACTTTGGTGGGAAGGTAACAGCATTCCGCGCACCTTGGTGTTTAGTCATGCCGGCCACATGACCATGGAAATGTCTTCGGACAGCGCTGGCTCTTCGGCTTGGAAATGGAGATGAGCACCGCAACCGTAGAGTCGGATTCGACTGGCTTTCGAGCAAGGGAACCTTTACCTTTACCTTACTTGAGTTATAATAAAAAGAACTTTTACATTTGTATTTTTGTACAACAATACTCTAATTCCATAACGTCTTAATACTGTTTTTGTCCTCTGCTTATTGCCTCCCTTACTTGTACTCCTCTCTTACTTGTAAAGCCAACTTTGTTTTGACGTTTATGTTCACTCAATAAAACAAAAGCATAGAAGTTTGATCAACCCAATTATTTTGGCTAACATCATTTACTAGATCATTTTGAGTCTCTATAAATCGTGTCCATTTCAACATAGCACTCTTTTGTTCGGCTGTTGTATAGTACTGGACTACCCAATCTGCAATTTTATCAGATATAAAATAGTCCCGGACTTTTCTGTACCAAAGGTCAATTCTGGGAATGGCTTTGTCTTTCCATTTCATAGCAATGATAGGTTTTTGGGGGGGGGCAGTAAGTAGAACTGAAATTAGTTCCTTGTCTCTGTTTTTGGCTATAGGTTCAAAAGGATTAATGCAGGATCTTTTGAAAGAACACATCCCCAACACTGCCTCTTAACATAAGTATTTCAGAAGTTCACTGCCACTGGATGTGGAAGTTCCTTTTAGTCACCATGGCTAGCACCATGGAAGGACCTATCCTCCATGAATATGCGTAATTCCCTCTTAAAGCCATCTACACTCACGGCTATCACTACAGCCACTGGCTATGAATTCCATTATCTAAACTATTCCGTTATCTAGACTAAGTCCAGAAACTATAGTCTGTTCTGAAATTATTATCCATCAACTTCAATGAATGCTCCCAATTTCTACTATTATGGGAGAAGGAACTAAAGCCCTATCCAATTTTATATTGCTTTTCTATTTGGTTACACTTTGGTGTAGTACTGAGTTGTCGCTGTGTAACTGGTGTAACAGTTCTGCAAGATCCTGATGTCAATTTGCCTATATATGCTTATGCTTGTTTGTAAAGTTGTCAGTGTCTTTTGTAGAGACATATACCTTCCTTGACCATGGTCAACCGAATAAAGACTTTGCTCCTACTGAACATAGTCTTACTTATTTGCACTCCTTCGACTGAAGTGACATTTCTCTGCCAAAAGGAACCCACGGCCCTCGGTCTAAATGACCTGAACACGAGTGTTAACAATAGGAAGTTTGGGAGATCATTAATTTAGAGGGCCGCCATAAGTAAAAACGACTTGACAACATTTAACACACACTGCAACAGTGGCTCGCCTGGTGGAGGTAATGGCCAGCCGGAAGAAAACCTCAAGGGGGATTGTCTTAGGAGGATATAGCATCACTTGACTGACCTGAAAGACCTTCTTCAACAAGAATAGCTGTTCTGTCTGTCTCCATGTTTGCAATCATAACCAACTGGGTTCTGAATGTGCCATGACCAGGATCAAAAATGGTGATCTCACTAGCCAGAGACATGACGGAAAATAGCAGATTACATCTGCTTTTCCACTTCACCTTTCTGATGAGAGAGACAATAGAAATGCATAGTGACACAACAGAACTGACCTGCTCTATTTCTAAGCACTCATAGAATCACAGAATCATTGGAAGGAAAGAGACCTCCAGGGTCATCAACCCTCTGCACAATTCAGGAAATTCACAAATATCTCCCCCACACACACACACACACAGAACTCTTGTTCCATGCCCAGAAGATGGCAAAAAACCTCCAGGATCTCCAGTCAATCTGGTCTGGAGAAAAACTGCTTCCTGACCCCAAAGTGGCAATCAGCATTTACCTGGGCGTGTAAGAAAGGGCCACAAGAACTAAGCACTGAGGCAAACCTTCCTGCCCTCCCTCCCAGGATTTGCCTAAGTTCACGGAATCAGCATTGCTGTCAGATCTCTGTTTCAAAACCTCCAAAGAATAAGAGCCCACCACCTCCGGAGGAAGCCTGTTCTACTAAGGAACCGCTCTACCTGTTAGGAAGTTCTTCCTAATGTTTAGGCGAAAACTCTTTTGATTTAATTTCAACCCACTGGTTGCCTTCTGAGGCAACCTGAGTGAAGACACTTTTTCGGCTTTGGCTCTGAGGGGAGCCAAAGAAGTCCACCAAAGAACATGCTATTTTCTAGAATATTGACAGTGTCAGCCATCACTCCCCAAGACCTAGACGGCTCACAAATTTGGCTTGGATTTCGCATACACTACTGACATACTCAAACTGTCAACAATGTGAGCTGTTTCTTTCCCCAGGATGTATCTAATTCACGTCCAGCTAGAGCACCAGTGACCCTTTGCCAGTTCATGGAGGTTCTGTACTACAGACCAGAATGTGAGCTAAACAAATTGCCTACAGACCTAACAAACTAGCGCATACCCCAGCTGGGAAGACTCACCTCTGTTGTAATTTGCGACGTTTTCTTGATCTGAAAGGAGGAGACTTTGTCTAGGTAATATATTGTGTATGGGGAAGTTCTGTATTTGTAGATGGCATTTGCTGAAATGTACTAGAAGAACCACTGCAGTGCCCTCACATATATTCTGACTGATCATACTACATCTAAGCAAATTATCACTGTTCCATGTTAATTTGGCAAGGAACATCAGTTTAGCTGACTTGAGGAACACGACTTGAGGTGCAGCCTTTCCCAGTTACTCCTCCTGATCTTGCACTGGGAACAGCCTTTCCGTCAAGGGGTCTGCTATCACTCTAAGATGTTGAACACATCGAGAGGCCATTAACAAGACTCTTCTCCTGGCTGACCATGGCTCCAAAGTCCCTCAGATATCACAGAGTGGTTCCAACACCTTTGATCACCTTGTTCATGAACAGAGATCACAGAAGTAGATCATCCCAGTACAGACAGACTTCCTGTGTTCTGAGAAAGGCTACCACTGTAACCATCACTTTGTTAGAACACCTTCGGGGCAGAGACCATGCCAAATAGCAGGGCCCTAAGATGAAACCACCTGCCTTGGCTGGTGTAAGAACCTGAGGAACTTCCCACATGGTGGTACAATCGGAACACTCAGGAAAGCTCCTATCAGACCTATTGAACATATCCCCCTTTTTTCTACTCATGGTTAACATTCAAAGCCCTTATTTTCTTAGCCCTGCTTAACTACACCAGGTCAGGAAACTTCCTGCATCCTCATCTAGCCAAACGAAACGCCCATTATAAAATCCTTGCAGCCATTTTTCATTACCTTTGAACTTCTTAAAGACACCCTCAAGAAAGGTGTTTATATCACAGAAGTCCCAGAAGACCCACTTCAGTTCAAGAGGTAAAACTGGCTCCTCAAGTTTCTCCTTCTCCTCATACCTAAAGAAGGGGGAGAAAATGTTAATCCATCCTAGTGCCATAGATTTTTTCCATCCCTTCCATAATTTGTCTATCCAGATAGTAACATGCTTTAATTGCAGCTAAATAAACACAGCCATATCTATCCATGAAATTAGACATTCTAGCAAACTTTTTTTAAAAAACAACTGTTTAATCAAACAAGCTGCTATAAAAGCTAATGGAAGACAGTATAACTATAGCAGTATTAAAGTGCAAGAGGACCTAAACCACAAAGAAGTGTGGGCCCAGGAGAAATGAATGGTCACAAAATGTGTGGCCATGTCTTTAAATCTTCAAATGTCCAATGTGTTTTGAACTTCTTAGAAAGAAAAAAAAGAATCAAGGCACAGAGAAACAATATTCTGAACAAAAAAGCCAGAATTCCACTAACTAAGCACTCTGGAACAGGAATGTGAAATTTATGACAGTCTTCTGGATGTTGGAGAAAGGTAGAATTCAGAAACTGTGAAGAAATAGTTAGAGGGAAGCCTAGCTTTGTGGAAGCCTCCTCAGGAGGTTGAGAGAGAGAAAGAAAACTGCTTTGAGTGTATGACAGAAAAGCAGAATATAAAACATTTATATGAACTAATTCTCTTTGAAACAGTATTAATTGTCTGAAGAAAAATGGATTAAACACTAGTAATATTACAGGCATATAACGTAGCATGCAGTATAGAATTGGAAGGGACCACCAGGAGCATCTAGTCCAACCCCCTGCACAATGCTGGAAATTCACAAATACTATCATCTTGGTGTCTGTTCGCAATAACATGTGCATAAGACAGTGGTGATGGGCACCATGTTTTTTTTAATTTATTTATTTACATTAGACTTGATATCCCGCTCTTGTCCCATGGCTAGGGTCTCAGAGCGGCTTACAGGGTTTCTGGTGCTAATCACCTGTGTTCCTAGCTAGGGCCACAATGTATGAAGGGGTGGGTGGGACAACCTACCGGCACCCCCTCTGTGGTGGCTATTGCTGTTTCTCCGATTGGCTCGGCATGGTCGGGTCTCCTGGTCCAGCGGGTTGTTCTTTCTCTGGCGTTTCCGGCGTTCAGTGGTGGCGATCTCCTCCTTAGGCGCGCAGCTCTGCCTACTTTCCAGCCCGGCTACGTCCTTTCCGGCTCCGCTGAGCCGGAACTCGGCATCTGCGCACGCCCCTTTCTTCTCTCTTCACAGCAGCCCTCGGTGTACTCCTTCTCCGCCGCCAGGGATCGCTCAAACGCGCACCTTGCCTTGCTCGCCGCCACCTTGCTCGCCGCACCACCAATGCCGTCCACGCCAGGGGGAATCTAAAATAATTGAACCACCAGGCCTTTCTCCTCCTTACCCACTTTTCAAATCCTAAGAAGCACAGAAAACTCCCTGTTAATGATAAATTAATAATTGATCATTAATTCCCTATTCTATTCCTTTCTCTAAGAGAGGGACTGCACTCCTCCGCACATTTGTAGAACAGACAATGCGTTTAGAAAACATGAGGTAGAAGGGGACGTGCACATTAAACAATTATAGCTGGGTCTGAATGTGCAGGATGGATTTAAAGGTGAGTTTTGGGTCTGTTAAGAAAAGCAGAATCCAGGTGATCTATAGAAAGATTAAGGCTAGACATGTTTTATGTGAACATTCAGAAAAGACAAGAACAGAGAAAACAACTTTCTCAGATGGATATTGAAGAAATGATAAAATGCAATGGAAGCAGTATTATTCCTGCAGAAAACTAAAGGCATCTTCCATGAAATAACAGTGGTATTTAAATGTAAGAAAGTGAGTTTCACACTGTATGCTTAGTGAATGCAGAAGATTTAGTATGAATGATTGGATTTTATATGGTTGTAAAAATCCTTTTTGTGCACTTTGTAGTGGGAAAGGCCTCAAGGTGGACATTACAAGACTCTTCTTTTTTGCAAGGTGGGGTTATGTTCTGGGGGGACTGCTGCAGAACAAACCAACACCACATGCAGCAGGAAAGAGCATGGTTCAATTGTCGGGAATCATTGCTACTTGGAGTGAGAACAGAGCCTTCTAAGTACAAAATAATCTTTTTTCACCTATGAGCATCATGTTTTTCACATGCTCTCCAGACCCTTGGGGATGTGAAATGATACAGTATAACCCCATCTCACCAGATCTCAGAAGCAAAGCAGGGTTGGTGTTTGAATGGGAGACCACCAGGGAGGACTCTACAGAGGCAGGCAATGGCCAACCACCTCTGCTTAACCGCTTGCCTTGAAAACCCTACGGAGTTGCTGTAAGTCATCTGCGACTTCACAGCACTTTACATACTCACATCCAGAGCCTTCCCATCACTGGGAAGAGAAACGAGAGGGGGTCCACTTACCTCTGCAAGGCGCTTCTGATATCCTGGAGAGAGACAGAAAGAGGAGAGAGAGAAATCTGTATGAGATAATGAACTCAGCAAACAAAGTGAAGCAATTTCAGTGCAGTTGAGGATCCACTGGCCAAAACAAAAAACACTTTTTACAGTACCTTGCATTTTGCCCTAGGTTTTGGTCGTTTCCTACAGCTGCACCTATTCTCCCTTTCATATACTTCCCCCATCATCCTTATGTATACAAAGCTGCCTTATGCAAAGTCAGACCATTTCCTTATTAAGCTCAGTATTGTCTACTCTGACTGGCAGTGGCTCTCTAAGGTCTCAGGCAAAAGAAAGGGCTTTCTCAGCAGGAGAGGCCAGGGACTGAGGATGCTTCAAGAGTCAAGCTACAGCAAATAAAATATGTATCAAAATGAATATATTTATTATATGGTGTACACAATGATACAATTTAAAACATAGGGCCTGGGTCAGCTGAACTCCATCAGAAGTGGGGAGGACAATGTCCTTCAAGGCCTCCACTTTCCAAACTAGCATTACCTCTGTCTTTTCAGGATTTACTTTCCATTTATTCACTTTTAGCCTTGTTATGACTTTTACTTCCTCTAGATAGTCAAGTTTGACCGTCTTCTTGGCGCTCCACAAGGGCTGTGGCCAACCCTGGCGGGGCTGATCCAAGGGCCTCACTAAACCATGCAATCAGTAGTAGCCAGTTCATCACTGCAGCCAGGCACTGATTCAGGACCTCTACTGCATCTCCAGGAGATATGGATAAGGATATATAAAGCTGTGTATCATCAGCATATTGATGATAACCAACTCCAAAACTATGATTTGTCCTAAGGGCTTTACACAGAGATTAAAAAACACAGGAGATGGAATTGCACCCTGTGGAACCCCACAAGATAGGTCCCACACCAATGATGCCTGGTTTCCAATAGCAACTCTTTAGTCTGATGATTTGAGCCAGTTCAATGCAGATCCCCGGATACCTACTTCTGTCTCCAGGTGCCTCAACAAGACAGCATGGTCTACTCTACTGTATCAAAGGTTGCAGATAAACCCAGTAAGAGCAAGAGAGAGGCTTGGCCTTTGCCTGCATTCAGACGGAGGTCATCAATTCAGTGGTGTACCAAGAGCAGGGCAGAGGGTGCACTCTGCCCCGGGCTGAGCTTGAGGAAGGCCCTTGAAGGAAAGCACTTCAAGCCAGTGTCATGCCTCCTCCAGCCAAACATCTTTCCTTTTATTTTTAAAATGCAGTTCTTGCTGCAGCCACTAGGGGCACAGGGAAGTCTGAGCATAGCAGAAAGCACTCTAGGATCAGCTAGACCTCCCTTTCTCCAAGACTGAAGCAAACTTGCTTAACAGATTCTGCTAAGCCCAACAGAGCAAGCCAGCATGCCGATAGCTGCTACAGTAATTGCCAGCCTGCAGGTCATTTCACCAACAGTCTATACATACTATGCACTATACATTGCACTGGTTCTGCTAGGCTTTCCCACACACACACACACGGCTTGGACTGTGACTCTGTGCTTGACATCAGTCCTATTGAGCTGGCATTGCCACAAAGGCACTATTTACTGCTGGGTACTCTGTACATTGTACTGGTTCTGCTGGGCTTGCAAAAATGCCCCCCTCTTTAGTTTCTATTGCAGAGATTCTCTGGTTTGACTTTAGTCTTTTGTAAACAAGGAAGGGTGAGGGCACGTTGGGGGGGGGGTTAGTGAGTTTCTTAACGTCCGATGAAGCTTGCAATCACTATTTTGTGATGCTTTGGCTAGTGTTAGTTAGTAAAAGTTAGTACAAAGGCAGACTCCTCGCTCTCAAAAATGCCTTGTTTGGAATAGTCAGCTCTTGGGCTTCAAAATGGAGAACAGATGCCCTCCCAAGTGCCTGCTCAGAACATAAGTGGTGTCATGGAATATTTTTTTTTGCTGTCAAGTCACAGCTGACTTATGGCGACCCTGTAAGGTTTTCAAGGCAAGAGATGTTGGGAGGTGGTTTTCCATTGCCTGCCTCTGCATTGTTCCTTAATGACTATCCATGTCAGGGCTGGGCTGAGAGTAATGTGACTAGCCCAAGGTCACCCAGGAAGCTTCCATGGCATGAGTGAAGATTCGAATCTGGATTTCCCAGATCCTACTCTGACACTTTAACCACGACACCATGCTAGCTCTCGTGATGGAACTGCAGGTTGAAATGTTAATTGTTTTACTTGCACGATTATATATGTGAAGTTAAATAAAAGAAAATTTTCCGTGTTTATTTTCTGGTTATTATTATTATTCATTTTTTTCATGATTGTTACTGAAAATAATTTTGTCATATAGAGAAGGGGCCCTGTGGCACGCTGCTTATTTGGGGGAACTGTTGTCACTTTAAAATTATACTCTGTGTTTATAAACTGGGTAGTTTCTGCTGCCACCAGGAATTTTAAGAAATTCCAGATCTTCTTTCTGTTTCTGCTGCTGGTAATGTGACCCAGGGTCTGGGCTTTCAGAGGTCTATGTGACTCTGAGGAAGGATGGAACTAAATTCTGGGTATATGATTTATTGATTAAGGAACAAAAATAAGTTGCTGGTTAACTAACTGTTTTTGGGAAAAGGAACTGGTAAATAAACTGGTAAGGTATCACACACAGACTTTTTGACACTAAAATTCCACACTGACAGGAATCTCTTTTTCACATAGGCAGCCACACTGGCTAAGCTCCTTGTATTATTGACTTTCATAACTAGAGTCTCACAGACCCTTCTCATAGCTCCTTCACACTTAAACTTTTAAAGATGTATATACTGAACTCTTTAAGTTCCCACACAGAACTCTGTCATATCACTCACTGACTGACTCTAACCAAATTACTGACTTCAAACTGACTTTTCTATAACTCTGATTCACTCTGACTTCAACACACACACACACTCCAAACAACTCCTCCTACACTCTGTCATCCACCAATCACTGCACACTTGTTGTCTCCCTCAATCATTCTACTCTACTAGCACTGCGCTCCAACCAAACACTTAAAGACACACACACACTAAAAAAAGGAATCATTACAGGCCCTGACCTGGATAGCTCCAGAGTAGCCTGATCTCATCAGGTCTCAGAAGCTAAGCAGGGCCAACACAGAGGCAGGCAATGGCAAACCACCACTGAACGTCTCTTTCCTTCAAAACTCTATGGTGTTACCATAACTCAACTGTAACTTGGGGGGGGGGGATAGAGGAGTGAAGTGTTTAAAAATTATTTGCTGTGGGTGCCAAACAGGCTAGGCTAGAAGACCTATCTCTGTCCCATAGCCTGGTCTGAAACCAGACTAAAAATGGTGTAGAGCAGATGAATTATCCAAGAAAACTTGGAGCTGGTTTGCTACAGCTCTCTCAATCACATTGGCCAGAAAGTGTAAATTTGAAACTGGGCAATAACAGGCCACATCATTTTTCTGAAGGGATGGTTTTGTAAACAGTGGCTGAATAGTCAAGGGAAGATGCCCTGAGTTAATATCTGATTAACTGAGAGCCAGTTTGGTGTAGTGGTTAAGTGCGCGGACTCTAATCTGGGAGAATTGGGTTTGATTCCCCACTCCTTCACATACAGTTGCTCGATGACCATGGCAAGCCATAGTTCTGTCAGAGCTATTCTCTCAAGGACGGTTCCGGAAAGAGCTCTCTCAGCCCTGCCTACCTCACAGGGTGTCTGTTGTGGGGAGGGGAAGGGAAAGGAGTTTGTAAACTGCTCTGAGACTCTGAGTGAAGGGCGGGGGTATAAATTCAATCTCCTCCTCCCCCTCTCCCTCTTCTTCTTCTTAATAATAGTTGTTAAGAGTTTGCTGATGTGTTTACATGATTTTATCAGCCAGGATAGGTAAGGATCCAAGGTACAAGTAGCGGCCTTCACAGATCCTAGGATCTTGTTCACATCCATCACAGAAACATGGTCAAAATGATCCATAAGTAGCACAGCTAGTGTATTAGGCCTTTCCTCTGGAGTATCTATGTTATAACTGACATCCAGTACCATAGCTGATTGTTTTTTACTGGGACATTAGAGGCTTGGATTTAGGTAACATCGTGCTGAGCTACCTTGAACCGTTGGGATGAGCATGAACAGTATTAAACCTGACTTAGAGACTGACACGGCTACCCATCTTGAAAGAGGCCAGCCTTCCTTTACAGAGAAGAAACCTGGGCCATTTCTGCCCAATTCTTACCTGCAGGAGTTCACAGTCCAGCTGCTGACACTTCCCCTCCATCTTCTGGATGACGTTCTCAAATGAGGACATTTCCTCAGTCAGTTTGGCCATGTAAGCCACGAGCCCATCTCTTTTTCTCGCCACCTCTTTCTCCAACTCTTCCATGTTGCCTAGCAGAAGTTTTGCTTGTTCTTCCAGGAACTTGTGTAGTTCCCTGAACTTGATTGCAGCTTTTTGCTTCTCCGCTTTGGTTTGCTTCTGATATGGTAGGAGAAGACAAACAGGCCATTGTGAAGAACACAGCCAGTCTTTACAAATAAAAAGAATCTTACAGGAAGGACCCTTTTGACTTTTCACAGAGATCAGATTAATATTTAGCAGGGGGAAACATTTAAGAGGCCAAGCGACACCCAAATCTCGGTTACAGCTACTTTCTCCTTGCAGTTTTTCCTCTTTGCAAAATTCAGACAGAGAGAGAACTTCTCTCTTGTCCCATCTGCATCAAAAACCATCTGAGTGAGGGCTAATTTTTGGCAGAACTACCACCATGGGGAAAAGAACTAAGCCCCCTTCCCTTCCCTGGCTTCCCAATTGAGAATACAGTTTCCCTTGCAGCATATTGTAAAAGAAACAAAAATCACAGAGAAAATACACACAACCAGGCATCCCACAGAGAAAATACACACAACTGGCTCAGTTTGGAATTAGCGTGGTATATACGATATTTCAGCAAGCCATTTTTTGTGGGGGGGGGGGCCAATCTGTTTTGTGCTCTCAGCTCACTGTGTTGATGCTTGTGTACTGATGGAGATGCAGATGAGAGCATTACTGCCCTGCCTCCAGGAAACAGTCTTTTGGTACCATTCACCTTGTACATACCTCACCCAGCACCACCTACATTGCTTGAAAATTCATCTGACTGTGAGAACAAGAAAGGGTTCTAGATCCTGATGGAAATCAAGAACTACACAAAGCCTTTTCAGGTAACCAGGACTGATTGGCCCAAACTAGAAAAAGAGCTAGGCAAGTTCATCTAGCAAAACAAAACAATTATTACACATTTCAGCAACATCACCACTTAGCACAGTCCTCCTGTGAGGAAATCGGGCCATGCCAAATTACAGATGTGCCAGAGAACAAAGCTGCGTCATGCCTTTTTGATTCTTCTGCATTTCGGTTTCAGCTTTTTTCCTCAAGTTCTTGCACGCTAGGAGCAGCAGCAGCACTTACAAGAAGTTCTTGGCTCTCCTTCATTATGTCTCCTTTACACGCCGTCAGTTTTTTCTTCTCCTCCTTCAGAATCCCCAGGCAGTGACTGATCTCCTCCTGAAGAGAAACCACAGTTCAGGCTTGTTCCTTTTTCAGAGGTCTCCATGCTTGGGTGTGCCAGAGCATTGGCAGCCCAGAAGCACAACTGGCTAAGCCAGAAATCAAGACAACCGGGCTGGAGATGCACTACTGTCCCGACATCACCCTAGAGAGACCCTTTGTAAGACTAAGCTGGCCTGAGTAGAGAGGGAGAACAGTGAAGAAGCAGCCAAGCAATTTAGTGTGCCTGCTGGGACATGTAAGATCATGTTCAAGGGGGTTTGGGCCAGCGTCCAGATCCAAATCCGGCCTCTGGCGGCAGGTGTCCTCAGTCGCCCTTGGAAGGGCATGCGTCTGTTTTTCAAGTTCATTCACAGAGCACCAGCAAGGGAGCGACGGGCGGGAGGTTTGGAGTCGTTGGCCTCCAAGTGATTAAGGATAACCAAAGAGAGATCACAGGATACGTGTGTAGAAAACACTCAATGGCTAGGATTTTGTATGCAAAGTATTGGAGAAAGGAAGAAGTCCCATCAAAAGAAGAAATAATTTACTAACTATTGGAAACAGCGGAAATGGACAAATTAGATTTAAAAAGATTTAAAAAACAAGATTAGATTAAAAAAAACAAGATTAAAAAAGAAGAAATCTTTGAGAAGAACTGGTCAAGATTCTAGATGGATTGAGGACTATCTCAGAAAACGTGCAACATAATTATTAAAATATAAGCTCTATACTTTAAAGTGTTCAAACTGCTTTAGGTGCATAAGAGAATGATTCTATCTATGTAAAATTTAAGTAGATACAATGAGTACATGCTCCATGTTTGTTGTATGTTAGTTTCTTTCTATTTGTAGTCATTGTCTTTTCTTTCTTTCCTGTTCTGAAAACTAATAAAATCTATTTACCAAAAAAAAAAAAAAAAGCAGCCAAGCTCAGAGGCAGCAGGAGACAGGCCGAAAGCAAATCTCAGTCCCTCTTTGGGCAGAGCCTGGGATAGAAATTAGGTGCACCCAGAGGTCATTTCGGGAGGAACGCGGGGGATCGCAGTTCCCCCGGGTGAGGTGCGAGGGGGCGGGGAACACAATGAAGCCCTGCCCCCCGCTTCCGGCCGCCCCCCTTCCGGCCCTCATTCAGCCAGGAGGAGGCAGGAGAAGAGGGAGGGTAAGTTGCTTGCTCCTCGCCTCTCCCCACCCCTGCCTGCCTGGGGCCAGGGAGGGCCTTGGCGGGGCTTCCTCACACTCCCGCTGGCCTTGCAGGTCCATCGCCGGTCCCCTGATGTCAGAGGGTGTGGCATATGCTAATGAGTTATGCTAATGAGTTCTCCTAGCTCTTTTTCTACGAAACTACCCCTGGGTGCACCAACACCACCAGAGCAAATTTCTCCATAAGGAGAGTCATGAGACATTCAGTGGAGAACTGGCAGAGTGGTGTAGTGGTTAAGAGTGCTGGACTAATATACGGGAAACCCAAGTTCGAATCCTCACTTGTGGCATGGAAGCTCGCTTGGGTGATCTTGGGTCAGTCACATTCACTCAGTCTAACCTACCTCCCAGGGTCGTTGTGAGGGAAAAATTGAGGACATTTTTGGTAAGCCGCCTTGGTCCCTCATTGGTGTCCGCAGATATTTCTTACCTTATACTCCTGGGACGCCAAAAAAGCAGGAATCACGTCATGGTATTTATGCTCTGTGGAACTGTCACACGCTGCACAGATGAGGGCCTCATCGTTCTTGCAGAAGAGTTTCAGGGGCTTCTGATGTTTCTCACAAATGCTCCCCTTTCCAGTTTCCAGGGGTGTCTGATTCCAAAGCAAGAGAAACAGCTTTAGCTTCATTTGGAGAAGGGTAAAGATTTCAAATGTCCTCTGGACATTTCCTCCTCCATAAGCGACTGTGCACAATTCGGTTCTCATTTAGAAAAAGAAAGCTGGATTCAGCCAAGATTTTTTATTAACCTATTCAAACCAAATACCTTTATTAGACATTTGTTACAAAATGTGCACAATTAGATTCTCATTTAGAAAAAGGAAGTTGGATTTCAACCAAGATTTTTATTAACCTAACAAGACCAAATACACTTATTAGACATTTGTTACAAAATGCATAAACAAATCTCTCAGCATCTAGAGGTAACACAAATAAACAATCATATAGTTTAAAAAAGGAGGAAAGGGGGATTTATCCAAAGTTACTGACAGACAGTGCCTGCAGCCTCATGGCAGCTAGGAGATATCTAGCTACTTGATTAGTGATGTGAGGGTTCCTGTCAGATATAAGATATAAAACTAAGCCCTTGTCAGAGTGGTCTTTGTACTTATGTAAAAGAGGACTAATTAAAGGGTTCCTCAGCTCAGGGTTAAAAAGTGAGAGTCTTTCCTAATGAGGAGTTGTCAGGAATCTGCCATAAACGACTGAAGAAAAGACACTGAACTTTGCAAGCATAAAAGCTCTGTGGACTTGCGAGGATTTGAGGTGCAAGAAATAAGCAGGTAGAACCCCACAATCAGGCATATATCATACTCAGAGATGTAAAATTTCCAGAAATTAGTTTTTTCCGGGGGGAAACGTAAATTTTCGGAAAAATTGAAAAAAATGCTACATTAGCATTTCTTTTGTCTTTTCTAGATTGAAAGTCATTCTGTTACTTTAGGAACATAAAATATGACTATGGACATTTTTACTTGGCATGAAATTATCACCACTAGCATATTAAAAATATAGTGTATCCAAACAATTATTACAAACAGAATACCCACCCACATGCAAAAACAAAACTGAAACCTTTTTATTTTCTTCTGACAATAGCACCTCCTTGAAGGAAGAAATGCATCTTGTTCTTGCATTGGAGAGTTCAGTTTGTAACCTAGGACTTGCTTGTCCTCAGTGCACAGAAATTAGATCAATCTGATACCATATATATTTTAGAAATGATTTGGAAAACATTTGAACACGTTGTCTTAAAATATTTTTTCATCATGTTAAATTAAAACATTCCATAATCAATTTTTTTCTTTTGTTTTCTTTTTTCAATTATTCCAATTCTTCGGGGGAAAACAAAAAAGGCTTCAGGAAAAAAACGGGGGGAGAATGTTTTTCCCCCAAATTTTTCCGGGCCTTCACATCTCTAATCATACACAAGTGGGGAACATGTCCTATTAGCTAATGAGTACAGGGGTTGTATCTCAATATCCATATTAACCTGTTCCTGCCTCAAATGATTCTGAAAATAAGTCAACTAACCAGGTTCTGAATAATCCAAATACTGCCTGTATGCCAAAGGTCCCCAGCACGGTGCCTGTGGGCGCCATGGTGACTGCCAACACTTTGCCTGAGGCATTATTTATTTATTTGATTGATTGATACCCCACCCTCCCCAGGAAAGCAGGCTCAGGGCGGCTTACAAGGCCATTTGGAAATAAACTATTAAGGATATGGGGGTTGCTA